TTACAACACAAGCTGCACAGCCTTAATTTCGACACCTTTCAAGACATGATAGCATTGACTCTGTATTGAAAGATGCGGATGAGATCACAGATGGCCTTGGTTTTCAGTCTACGTACATTTCTGGGACAAGCATTCTGTTTCCAAACACTTGAAGATGCGGAAAGCAAAAGTGAAGGGGAGAACCTGGCCAGAAACTATGGAGTCTCGATGCAAAGTTGTAAATGAATTGTCGTGAAGCTGGGGTGCCTTGCAGCTCGGCTTCTAGCAAAACAAGAAGGTCCACAGCCTTACACCTTCCTTTGCCCCGCACAATTGGAAGTTCAGATCCCTAATTAGGAGTTTTGCCTCCAGGAAAGAAAGAACCCTCTGATAGACAACCCATTTTTATTTATACCTGCTGACCCACTGACACTGGAAGTTCCTCTCTGTTGTGATGTAAATCTTGGGCACTTTTGGGGGTTTTTGCCTGGCTCAGAATAGGTTTTGGGGATGGGCAGTCCTGGGCGGGGGAGGGTGAGGGCGTTGGGAGGAAGAGAAAAATGGGAGCAGGGCTTTGACCTGCCAGAGAGGAGCCCCTGCTGACACGGTCAGTCTGACCCATTGAATGGCCTGAATACGGTAAATGCCGCTTTATTCTGCCTTGAAAGGCACGAGATAGCACAGTCTAAATGCCTGGGCATGCTTAAATAGGCGACTCGGGATGTTTGAGTTGAGCGTGTTTGAAATCTGAGCTCTCTGACAGCCTGGGAGCTGCCACAGGTCACCTGCCTTGCTCCGCAGGGACAGACCAGGTCTCACAAGAAATTGTCCATAGACGAATTGTAGTACAAATTCCTTTCTTTGTTGGTTGGCCTCTTTCACTAGACCATGGCCTATAAAATTTTGTAAAAACAATTCTTAAATATTATTTGAAAGGGCAAATGGCCCACGCTGAAAGGTTTGACAGTTTGACATATAGTGCATGGTTTTGATAGCTCGGAAACTGGAAAGTGTGGCCAGGATTCTCCCCCTGCTCGTTAGAAGCCTGGTGTTTTTCATGGAGTGTCTTGTTGCTGCTGAGTCCCTCTGCCCCTTGCAATCTGACAGGCAATGAGTCCGCTTCAGTGAGCTTCAATCCTTTTAGACTAATTCGTGAGAGAGCAGAAAAATGGCTAGCACCTTTGAATCCAGCATCCAAAAAGCACAGAACCAGGTATTGCCAATTAAGGAGCCATTCGGATAATCATATCAAAGCAGATTGCTTCAGAGGCTTCTCATAAGGCCAGAGCCAATGCCCAGTGTGGGGTGGGGGTGGGGGGCAGAGTTTCACTTGAGTGGGGGGGGGGAAGGGATTTGAGTGGCCCGGTCTCATCAGAGCTGGGGAGTCACAAGGAAGTGGATTTCTGCATTAGAATGTTGCATATGTGTAGGCAGTGTGTGCTCTGGCCCATCCGCTGCCTCTGCATAGCCAAAGGCCATTTTCGCGAGCCTCTGGCCCCTCAGTCACTGGCCTGCTAGTTAATTGCCACACGGACTTCATGACACATGGGCAGATAATATGACATTTTCGGTTTCTGTCACTAGCAAACGCCACAACGTTGCTTGCACTAGTTGCTAAGAAGCTGTCAGAAACCATTAGCAATTGGCTAAAGTCGCCCTATGGCATTTCCTCATAGCATCAGCAAAACGAGCATAAATCACCCACTGGAGCCTACTGCTATCCTAATGAGGCTGTAAGCTTGTTTATGGACTAGCATCATTTTTATGATTATTTCCACCTTTTCAGTTTGCCTTCATTTGGCGGCAGGAGAAGTCAGCTCCAGGAATGAAGTCACTGCTGACATTTTACAAATGGGGTTCAGAGCTGCTGCGTGCTGCCATGTGGTCGGCCGGCGGTTCTGCAAGTTTGTTTAGTGATCTTAAAAATAAAAAAAGGAAATAAATCCTCCAGAGACTGCATCGAGGTGACTGTATCAAATTGCAGAGTGAATGGAAATGCTCAAGGTACAATTGACCATTTAGACTTTCCTCTGAGGTTGAGATGTTTCGAGATCAATTTTCAATTCTAGAAAGTGGAAGAGGTTAAACAATTTATTAAAATCTATGAAAGTGTTTGCTTTTAGAATCGTCTGTTTTATTATGCTCCTCTCCTTCCCCATCTTCTCCATTTCCCTAACTTGTGTCGGGAAGGAGCAGGGTTTATTGTTTTAGGCTTTTCTGAACATGCACCAGTATTTACACTGGATTGAAAGCATTTGCTTCCAATGAAAATCTTGTCTTAGATTACAACCCAGCAGTGTAATTTCCCTCCCAGATGGGAGTAAAGTAGCTGTATTTGCCTAAAAACAGTAGGAAGAACAAACTGTGCATTAAGCCAAGGCTGTTTTTGGCTTGAGCTAATGATGTAATAGAAACCTTTTATTCGGGAGAGGTCACTGCCAGGGACTGAAGGGGGTGATCTGGCTCCTGCTTGAAAGGGTTCTCCATTGTGTCTACATAAGTCTTCACTTAAAAAATTCTGTTCCTAATGCTCCTGCTTTCATACAGCAGAAATAAACAGGAAAGGTTCTGGTGAGTGTTACACATGGAATGCAGAAAGCCTTCCTCTCCTAATGGAGTATATAATTCAGGTGCCCTCAAGGCATGCTTTCAGGAATTCTTTTGCCTGAGGTAATGGGAAGCTAAGGCTGCTTTAAGGCCTTGATTATCTATTGATGCACAAAGCTGGAAAAAAGTCATCTCCGCTGGATTATAGTAGATATTTCCATAAATTATCAATGACTTCTCTTCGAGGCAGGCACTAGGCATTGCCTGCTAAATTAATCTGAAGGGGTTTTGAGACGGATGGAAAGGCTATTTTTTTTTTTTTTTAAGGTGGAAAACAATCATGGAGAGGTGGTGAAAAACTGTCATTAGGTTAGAAGCTTTTCATTTTTAATCAGTGATCAAGTAATATGTTTCTTTTCCTTGGTTACCTTTTGCATATTGAAAGTGGATTAGCCCATTGAAATTTTAAATGCTGTTGAGTTGGTTTCTTTTCTCATGTTTCTTTAATGAATTGTTATTTTATATGGTGAATTGCTTCTCTGAATAAAAAGCCTCTTTAAATAGTGGACTTTTAAGGAATTTATTAGGCAAATCCAAGGGGACTCCTTATAAAACACTTGGTTATGCAACGAGTTTGGTGGGGGTGGAAGGAACACTGATGTAGGGATGCGGGTGTCTGGTCCAGCAAGCCCCATCCCTGCTGCGTGACCTTGGGCAAGTCACCCAAGCACTTTCTTCGCTGCTGCTACAGCGAGGGCTCTGGGACTGTGGGTCTTTACGATCTTTTCCACTGAGAGCACAGCTATGATCCTGTGGAACTTTAACAGAATAGATGGATTTTTAAATACAGTAAAATGATGGATTTTTAAATTAAGAAAAATCACACTCAGAAAAGTTCTGCAGAAGTTTTGTGTTTGTGGCATACGCTGTAATCATAGCAGAAATGTTGATATTTAGTCTGTTCCTCACGCAACAGTTTTTAAACTTTACCTCAGTACAAGTTAAGGCAATTTGGGGGCAATTTCCTTTTGGGGGGGATGGGCAGGGGACTCCTGAGGGAGCTGTTAGGAACAATTGATTAATGGCAACATAATGACTATCGATTAGACTGAAATAACTGAAATCAAGGTAGTAAGTATATTTGTACCTAGTGTATTTAGGTAGCAGAAATAAGGAATATGAAATAAGTTCATGAAGCGGTGTAACTGAGTATGAGGCTAGTTCCGGTGTACAGTGGCTAGGAAACTTGTCTCACCGAAGTACCCGATTCCTGGGGCATGTCCACGGCTCTCCAGTGAAGTGCATAACCCACGGAATGTGCTCTTAGATGTATGTGTTGCCTCATGGCAAAGCCTTGCTGCTGTAGCTCTTCTTCCTGGGCCGGATCCACCTGTCCCTTTCTCAAAGTCGGTTCCTTACTCGGAGGCACGGTTGACAGAAGCCAAGCTGCTTTTTAGTGTAGTGGTTTTAGTCCAGGCTTGTTTTCCCTCTGAAGTTTTGTGCCGAACACAAGATACTTAGTTTGCATTTGTACCTTATGACTTGTTTTGGACAGTGTGGTTATATGGGCTGAAATTTCATTTTTTGTCTTATTAAACATGGCACTGTAAAAGGAATACTACATTTTTTGTTTTATTGTGTCACAGAGCCAGAATATTTTCTAGAAGAAACAACATAAATGTTATAACACAAATCAATGGAAGACTAGGATCCAATATTAAGGGAATTTGTAAATAGGTGACTTTTCAAATGAGAAAGATTTAAATCTAGAAGAAATTTTAGAAACTGCCTGGATTTTTAGGGTAACACAATTCCAATTGACTATTCGTTTAACATCACTTTATTTGACTTACACAGTAATTGTTTCCTAATTAAAAAACTATTTCAGGAGTTTTGCCCTTAGTAAACTTGATGCTCTCTTTTTATGACAAGAAGAATTATATTCTATTTGAAGCATTCCTATGTCAAATCGCTTAGATGATGGATTACTTACATCTCTGTGGCCTACTTTAGTCTTAAGATAGATCACTTGTGGAAATAGTTGATATCTTAAATGCATCTTCTCACAAGTTGACATCAATGACGATACGTGGGGTTTGACTACCCAGGCAGGGACAGCACCTCTGCCCATGGCCACCACCATATTTAACTCCCCAGTAGGAGCTACACTTACCACGTCTCAGCTATACACATCTGAATCATTACCATGGCAACAAAGAAAGCTACTGAAGAGATTGGCTATTTCCCTTCATTCCCTTTGACCTTTCCCACTGTTCTTTGGAAGAAGTTCCTTAGACCTGACTACTTTTGAGCTTAGGCCTTGTTCTTTCTCTTTGTCTTGGAAAAAAAAAGTACCAAATAAACTATTAATCATTTATATTGCTCTTTTGGTTTTGTTTATATCCAAAGGCATTCTATTTGAATAAAGCATGTCAAGGTAGCATCAGTCAAAATTTGATTCACTATGTTTGCAGGTGATGGCTTGGACAACAGTGTAGCTTCCCCCAGCACAGGTGACGATGATGATCCAGATAAGGACAAAAAGCGTCACAAAAAGCGTGGCATCTTTCCCAAAGTAGCCACAAATATCATGAGGGCGTGGCTGTTCCAGCATCTAACAGTAAGTGGATTCTAAATGACATATGTAAACTAAATATGGACGGTGAACCAGTTGTGATAGAAAAAAAATGGGGGCAAAATGATCCCCTCTGCACTTGGAATATTTCATAAATCACTGTGTTCCCTAGTTTTTACAAAAGTGTTAGCACTTAATTTCCTAGATACTTACCCCAAATGAGGAGTTTTATTTGAAGTGCACTATTGCAATTTTGTTAACTGTAAGTTATAAGGTTTAGGAGTTCATGTGACTTGTGATTTTAAGTATGTATGTTAATGATGTTGCTTTTCTCAGTGTGACTCTGAGGTACTTAGAACCAACTCCTACTAAGAAGAAAGCCAGCCAGACCCCAGAGAGAAGGACTTAATTTCTTCTAACGCTTTAGTGGACCTTTGTAGCGAACTGTCCAAAAAAGTTTAAATCTTGTTGCAATGGCAAGATGTTCACATTAATTTGCTTTTAAGTGGTTTGAATGGCCTGGTTGCCATTCCAAAACATTCATCTGAGTCAGGGCTGCACAGTGAAAGTTGTCCCTGTACTTAGAACTGTAAAGGAAAACAGCAATATAGAGTCGGCACTTCCTGTGTAGTCCCTTGTGACTTTTCAAGCAGAGTAACAGTTTATATTGTCTGTGTGAGTATTGCTGTTTTCACTGCAGGAATTCTCCTGGAGATGTGAGAAACTGGAGATTGGGGGCTTTATGCCACCAAGGGATTTGTTTTGTTTGGTTATTGTTCTGAATGAATTTCATGTTCAAAATATTTATAATCATAATATTTTGGTGGATATTTTTGTAAGTGCATACTGATTTAATGACATCCAGGGAAGAAGACCAAATGAAAATTTATGGATAAAATAATATTTTAAAAATCAGCAAAATTGTTGGCAAGGGGGACTTTCACTATTAGGGGCAAAGGTTGAATTTAAATAGGTTGTAGCCTCGCCTCGCCTCACCTCGCCTCGCCTAGCCTAGCCTAAAATGAATGAATGCCAAAAATCTTGGCTTTTTGAAAAATGTCAGAAGCAAACTCTTTATGTTACCATTTTTAGCCTAGTTTGCTTTTTTTGAAAGTCATTTATTGGTACGTATCAAGGTTAATTCTGCGTTGTCCCTGATGTACCCAGGTCTGTTGACCTCACGCCTTTGCCCACTTTCAGAGCTATGTTTTTCGGTGACTTGTACTGTTACAGGGAGACACACAGGGGCTGTCGAAGGCCACGCTGGGTCTGCTCCTCTGGATAGAGGCTGTACCTCCAGTAACACTCAAGGGTATAAATTAATCCAGGTTTTCCAGCCTCTGTGAATAAAATAAAAACCGAGAGCAGCAGGAGTAACTTAAAAAAAAAAAAAATAGTTTCCTCTTTCCCTTCCAGCCATCGTGGTTCCGCACAGCCACTAGCCTCCACTGACAGTTCTGGAATCAGCTTCGGAGGTTGGTTAATGCTGGTTAATAGTTAGTTGAAGCTTGAGATGGCATAGCTGATCTTAACATCACATTAGGTTTACCTAGAACCCAATTCGGGTGCTATTACTTACCTGATACTTGTTACATAGATGTGGATAGTTTGAGATCTGCCTCGTGCAAGGTGTAAGGTTGCTGCTGAGGATTACCAACCTCGACTGAAGGGGTAGGGGGAAGGAAGGGCGAGGGTCCAGAGGGCACGGAGGGCACAGGAAGAAGAATAAATAGCAGGAGATAAGAAGAGACAGTCGGTCAGAGGTGCTGATGCAGCTGTGCTGATATTTCGTCACCGGGGCTAACCAGCCAACCTGATCTGGAGGATGAGGGCGGGAGGGGACAAAATCAGGTGGCCCCGGAAGTTACAACCTGAGTCTATTTCCTGTACTAACAGAAAAAAAAAAAAAAAAGAAGAAGAAGAATGGATTTCGTCAGCCTCCATCTCAGTCTACAGAGGAGCTTTGGCTTTCCTTGAAGCTGAGATGCCCCTGAATAAAATATAATCAAATATTGGTTCAGACAGAATCGGGAGGGAGAGAAGCAAGTTCTTTTATTCATCCACCAGATTTCCTGGTTTTCTAGGTCATACCCTTGGGAAGAACCTTGCAGAGAGCTACATTATTTTCTTAAAACAAAACAGAAAACATCTTTAGCAGCCAGCAAGATCTTACCTGTATTGCAGTGCTTTTTGTGGTCCATATGTTATTGGGGCAATTGGATTAGAAATTATGCCTACGCTGCCAGATTTCTTGAGGTTGGGCTAATTTCTTTCAGTTTGGGGGTCTGTACTGGCCTGACCACCACCCTGGAAGGGGAAACCCATTTGTCCACATCTCTATGAAGGCTCACAGAAATTGCCTTGTGGTTCGCGTTGGGCATGCCCACCTGCTTCCACACTCCACTCCCATGTGCTCATACAAAAATATCGATAATGGTGACCATCCTCAAAAAGCAAATGTCTCAAAATGTCATCTAAAAAACAAAGGAGATATATTTAAATATTCTCCCTCTTTCCTACCCCCAATGAAAGCCATTCCCTTCCCTCTTCTCTAATTGCAAGACCAGCAAGATCTCCAGTTATCAGACACATCCTTCCCCTTGTCTTGTTATACTTCTTGAAGGAATGCACAAACTGCTTAGGTAATTGTTTATAGTCAGGAGCTGATAATAATAAATTCTACGGGGGGGAAAAACCTCTAGAGTTTAAGGAAAGTTTTGTTATTTGTTCAAATGTAAGTAAGTAGTGATAGCTCTGTACTAATCTTTTAGCAACTTTATTTCAAGTTCTGAGAGTTCTTGGGATGCGCAATTCATTTGGAAGTTGCTACAGATTTTAAATGATAACATTCTTGCTATATGATTAATGTAACTTCTCTAGAAAATCCTGTCTGAAATCCTGCAAGATACAAAAGAGCGACTGAAACTCTGGCTAATCAAAACAATAGCAATAACAATTTATTAGCAAATTGTACAAACTAATCTTTTAAATGCCAAATGGCATATTATGAAAGCTCACATACCTTTTTGAAAGCAAATTCCTACTCTTTTTTTCTCTTTCAAATAAATGGGTCAATCTTTACATTGGATTTATTCAGTTAAAGTAGCAACAACAACAAAAACCTGCCTTTGAAAGGGCTTTCAAGCATTTATGTGTTGGAGGAATAGAATAGGCCCTGGAAAACAAAACAAAACAAAACAAAACTTTCTGGATTTGCACCCCAGCATCAGAAAAATGTGCTGTTCTGTGGTTGGCCACAGGTAGATTTAATCAGTAGCACATTTTACTACTCCAAGGAGAGAACTAAAGCGTCATTTTTGGACTTACAATCTCTAGTGAGCTAAACTGGAAATACTTGTATATGATGAAAATAATAAAAGAAAAAGGAAACAGATTTTAAACTTTGCTGATTATGGAGTAAAAGGAAATTTCAGTGGTGAAAATTTCCACCTCAGTCTTAGTTGAACACTTGCCAGGGTTTGATAACTAGAGAAGGTCTCTTAAAAGAAACTATTCCCTGGAATTGAAAAGAATGACTGACATTATTTAGATAGTAAGAGAGAATTAGAAAGAAAACAAAAGCATTTATTAATAGAAATGCTTGCATTTGCCTGAAGATAAATTACTGCAAACAATTAAAAAATCCCTAATATTTGAGTATGAGTCGCTGTAGTCAGGCAGTTCGGGGGCATACACTCCATGAAGGTTTCTTTTTCCTTCTTAAAGGCGTTATTCCAACTATAACTATAACCTACTATGTCCTAATGTTTAAACTGGTTGTGTTTTGCGTATTGCCAGTTCTTTTGCTACATAGTGTTACAAAGCTATATGCCCAAGGGCCTAGTGAAAATGAGAAGAAGAGATAAATACAATGTTTAAGGTAAAAATCAACGGTTTTCTGTTTTGTTTGGTTTTCCTATCCTATTGCACATTTACCCTATTGCATATTGCAGGTTTAAATATAATCTAAATAGAAAAGCAGTTAATATGGTTCTTATTTAAATATGCAGGGACATATTTTCCTGCATGGAGCTGCTGTGTGTCCCAGGAGTCTTCAAAGTTAGGAAGAATGCAGGCTGTTAAAATACACACCTGCGGGTTCAGGTGAAGAAACCATGCAAGGGGCGACACATATGGCATTGACCACTTGGGGAGGTGACCCTCAAGGTGAATCGATTTTGATTCACATTCTCTTGGATTCCTTTCACTGATCTTTGGGGTCTCATTGGGTACTTAATAGAGACACTTTGTTTCTATGTCAGATACACATATTTTACTCTTTGGTTTTGTTTTGTTTGTTTCTTATTGTGAACTTCTATCCTGGAAAATATTTTTTTTTTTTTGTCTGTGGCAAAATTTATGTCTCAATTTCTAATTTATAAGACTTCCCTCTCAATGTGGATAAAGCCAAAGTGAGGGGTTGTAGAATCTTCCAGGTTGAGAATGGCGTTTCCATAGAAACACTATTAGATGAAAAGTGCCCTGCGGGTCCGCCACTCTAAGGATGGCGTAAATGGAATTGAATTGGGAATTGAATGCTCTAGAAGAGACAGATGTTTCATTGGTTTTGCTTTTGGTAACAAGATCTTTTGGCGACGTCTTAGTGTCATATCTCTGCTTGCAGTTTTGGAAGGATTGTCCTCTAAACATTAGGAATTATTATTACACTGAAAAAGTACCTCTCATTGGTATCCAGACAGCCCATTCTGTTGATCAAGGTGAAAGGTCAAAAGGCAGAAGAAGGACCTGTAGGCAGGCCTTAGGTAGGTAGCAGATGGGATATGCTTCCCTCCTTCCATTTTTGTTTCTCTGTCCCTCACCTCTAAACTTTGATAGCTTTAATGGTAATATTTCCATTGTGCCTAGCCAGCCAGCATGATTCAGCTAAAATTAGTCCTAAGACGTTAGTGGGGCAGGAAGACGGTATTCTCCAACTCTTGCCTGGAATGGGAATCAGGGTAGGACAAAGCATTTTAGAAAGACAGTCCCTCCTCCAAACTAGTCCTAACTTATCTTCACGTTCATGTGCCTGACCTGAGGAAGGT